AGTTTCGTTGTCAGACGTTACTCGAGAAAGACATCTTTTTCTTCTCGCGCATTTAATGGATCGCGAAAGAATTAAAAAGTCCCGAGTTCGACAATAAATTTAAAAAGAAAAAAGTCGTCGCATCCTACGACGCGTTCATCTTTCGCGGCACGAATTACGAAATGCCACGTCTGTTTCAACAAATCGTTATATAACCAATTACTATGTGTATGTACAAACGATCGCAGAAACCGCCGCGCTATCCGATCGATAACGGATTTTATTTCAAGCTTCTCGAACGTTACGACGTTTCTCGCAACGTTACGTAAAAGAAACGGAAATATCTCGCCGAGTGGCTGATAAAAGCGGCGGAACTACCAGTTATCCGCTCTGGGGAAAATGGTAAGTCAGGGAAAGAGAGAACTGGTCGAGAACGCGAGCCGGTTACGGATATAATTTTTAATGCTTAATTAGAACGGAGACGCGCTGGCACGGACGTTTCGTCGCCGCCGTAAAGGGAATTAGTCGCGATCCTTTATCGACGCGGTGACAAGAGTCGAGGAGCGGCTGTTAAATTGACGAGACGACACGTGAGGAGGAAAATGGATGAGACGCCACGTCTACGTGGCTCAATGTCAACCGGCAATCGGCTACCACCGACTCTGCATGCCGAGCTCCACGATTCGTACTCTGGCTTGCACGTACATGGTGGTCCTAAATAACTGAACAGCGATTTAAATTTTCATCTTGCCGAATGTGATCGTCGAATGTTTTCATATGATTGTTTTGCACATAACCTAAAAAAGTTAAGTAATATCTTAATCGTCGAGTGTTTTCATACGATTGACATGCACATAACCTAACAAAATTAATATCTTGCTCGATTACTTATGTTTTCATATAATTTTCATATAATTGTAACCTAACAGAATTAAATAATATCTTGCTCGATTACTAATTGTCGAATGTTTTCATACGATTGTTTTGTACATAACCTAAAAAAGTTAAGTAATATCTTAATCGTCGAATGTTTTCATACGATTGACATGTACATAACCTAACAAAATTAATATCTTGCTCGATTACTTATGTTTTCATATAATTTTCATATAATTGTAACCTAACAGAATTAAATAATATCTTACTCGATTACTAATTATCGAATGTTTTCATACGACTGTTGTGTACATAACCTAACAAAATTAAGTAGTATCTTGCTCGATTACTAATTGTCGAATGTTTTGTCATGCCATTGTTTTGTACATAACCTAACAAAATTAATATCTTGCTCAATTGCTTATCGTTGAATGTTTTCATATAATTGTTTTGTACATAACCTAAAAAAGTTAAGTAATATCTTGCTTGATTATTAATCGTCGAATGTTTTCATACGATTGTTATGCACATAACCTAACAAAATTAATATCGATTGCTTATCGTTGAATGTTTTCATACAATTGTTTTGTACATAACTTAACAAAATTAAGTAATATCTTGCTCGATTG